TTCATTGGTTCACTCATTCATCCAATTCCTGTGTGTTGGGGTACCGACTTGTGTGCCAGGCGTGCCACTGGGAGTACAAAGAAAACTACTCCATAGACCTTGACACTGAGATGCTAGGAAATACCACCTGTGTGAGGACGGTAAACTATAAAGTACTATGTAAATAATATTTGGTATTATTATCTCCCTGGCTCGGGGGATGGGGACACGTCCCAACAAAGTAGCTCAAATATTGATTCTAGTTGTGAAAATTTATTACCAACACAAATGCCCAATGACAGAAGACTGGCCAAGCAGAGAACATTCTATAACTCTTAAAAATGTTAAGGGCTTTGTCTCTTCCAAAATAAGCATAGCTGCTGGGAAATAGGATTGTTTTTTTCTTTTTTGGGATCGGTCTGTTTGGGCCATAAGAGGTGACAGGCAGAGGAGAAAATCACCCTGCAGAAAGTTAATGACAGTTCCAGAAAGTGTTTGCGAATCAAACCAACACAGGGTGATGACTAAGCCTGAATCTGCACCACACCAGTGCAAATTATTGGGGGAAAAAAAAGCAATCATGTAACTGAGTATGCTGTCTGCAAGATGACAAGGAACCAATTAGGTTTCAACCACTGCCCCCGGCCCAGTGATGGGGGTGGGGGGGGGTCCTGGCGTTGGGTTGATATGGCTGGGGTGCTCCTCCCAGCCTGGCTGGCTGCCTGCTCCTTACTCTGCCTTTCTTTTCAGACTACGTCAATCTGTTCAGCACCAAGTGTCACGGCTGTGATTTCCCTGTGGAGGCCGGTGACAAGTTTATCGAAGCCCTGGGGCATACCTGGCATGACACCTGCTTCATTTGCGCAGTATGTTTTTAGCCTGGGGTTCTGACTTTCTGAGAAGGGGTAGGAGGGATCAAGTGGGGCCAGATGACCAACCCACTATATCCCTTTCAACTCTGACATTCTAATATTCTCATTTTTAAAAGCTGGCAGATACCATGATGCCTTGATATGTCACAGTCAAGCAAAGTTTTATTTACTCTCCATTTCATTAAGGACAGCAGTGTCCCAGGATCTGGCAAACCAGCAGCTTGCCTCCCCAGCAGTGCTTTCAATAGATGGGAGGAGTGAATGATGTTTGAATTGAAATAGGGGTGGGTGGCTTCCAGTGGTTATATGTTGTTTAAGATACGATGAAGTCATTCAAGGGTTTTCCCCAAATTTTCACCCTGAACAGTAGATAAGAGCTTATTGACTAATCCTATGAGAAGCTGAGATAAGGTTTCTTTTGATAGAACCTTTAGAAAACAGGACCAAGTATCATTGCATTTTCCTAAATGGTCCTGTTGATACACAGTTGCCAGAAGGTAAGCCTTAGATTAAGTATTAACAATGTGCAGTTTATTTCTGCTGAATAGCCAGAGATTGGCACTTTCCTTCCGAGGGTTTTAGGTTGGGAAGGGGACGTGGCAATAAACCTGCCGATATTTACACTCTGGATTAGAGTTCAGAAACAGCCCTCCCTGATAAAGCCCAGTAATGTCCGTCTGTAACTGACTAAACTGTATTTGAGAAAATTAATGTGCTACTATTGCTAGTTTTTTTTTTTTAAATCAGAGCTGCTCAAGGTACATTTTGGGAATGTGTGAAAGATCTGTATGGTTTAAACTTGAATAGTTTTTATAGGCTTACGACATCAGACAACCCCAGTCATAAAGTTTATTGCAATTCACTTCAGCTTTTATGCTTCATGTCTACACCCCCTCCCGTCTGTGGAGTGCACTGTATTCACTCAGTGTGTTAGTTTGCAAACGCTGCCATAACAAAGTACTGCAAACAAATATCTTAGCTACAGAAATGTGTTCTCTCACAGTTCTGGGGGCTAGAAGTCCAAATCCCAGGTGTCAGCAGGGCCATGCTCTCGATCCTAGCTCCTGGTGGTTGCCGGAAGTCCTTGGTGTTTCTTGAATTGTAACTGCTTAACTCCAACCTCTGCCTCTGTCATCACGCAACCGTCTTTCCGTTGCATGTCTGTGTCTTCACATGGCATTCTCCTCTGTGCAGGTATCTGTCTCTGTGTCTCTTCTCCTCTTCTTATAAGGACACTGGTCATACTGGATTAAAGGCCCACCTTACTAGTACGACCTCACCTTAACTTATATCTTAATTACATCTGCAAAGACCCTATTTCCTAATGCTGTGTCCCTGCTCTGGGCAGTCTGGAGGCAATGGGCTTAGAACTTTAACAGGTGTATTTGGAGGGGAGACAGTTCAATCTGTAGCACTCTGATTTTCCAACCCTTTGAATAGATTCTCTAGTTGCCTTTTAGGGTCTTTAAACATATCAGGGACTCCCCTCCAAAAAGGGACAACAATATAAATATACTGATTTTATGGTTGTCCTCTGTGGAGTCACCACTCAGCAAGACACAGTATAGGGCTCTTTGACCCTTACCTTCAAGCCATGGCTTGTCTGATCCTAAGATGCTGCCTGCAGATCTGGTTACCCAACTTTTAGAAGGATCCAAGAGACTTGGAGAAGGTCCAGGGAAGACAGTGGCACAGAAGGCCTGTTCTCCAAGGGCAGGCTGACGAGAGGTCTGTGTCTCATAGAGAGGGAACCATGCGAAGATGAGCGTGAGTCTGTGCCCTTGAGCCTCTGTGTTTGGCTGAGAGTCTTGATGGTGCAAGTCCCAGAGAGAGACCAGAAGAAGCAGTTAAGCTTGGGGTTGTTCAGGCTGAGATTACAAATAAATTCCAGGCAGGTGCGAAAGACCCATAGCACTGCCCAAAGGATCTGCTCAAAGATACCAGGCAGATCCCATCCCTTGGAGAATCAGTGTGGAGAACCATTACACCTTCCCCTAGACTAGCCTGTGTGGCACTCACTGCCCCGTGAAGCCATATCAAAGTGGAACATAGTTTGAATTTTTGGAAATTAGTATTTTGATTGGAAAACTTTGATCATGATTTTTGGTCCTCTTTCCATCACTTTATGTTTCCAAATTACTTTTTTGATTTTATTTTTATGTTTTTATTGAAGTACAGTCAATTACAATGTGTTGATTTCTGGTGTACAGCACAGTGTCCCAGTCATGTATATACATACGTATATTTGTTTTGGTATTTTTTTCCAAATCACTTTTAATGAGCGTATATTTTCTTAGAATTTGAAAAAAAAAAGAACTAGTAAGAAAGATCAGGACCAGCTCTCCAAGCTGTTTTCCCATCAGTTAGATCCCAGGAAAGCTCATACTTCAGACTAGTTCAGCTGAGTTTGGGAAATACAAAAGGATCCCAGGGCATGTCTCTACCTTCAGGGAACTTAGACTCTGGAGAGGAAAACAAAGCTGACAATTAAAGACCAGAACAAGGCAACATCTCTAAAGTTCCAGGCATTTAAAGTAAAGGCTGAGAAGAGCAACGTGGGTCAGGGTAAAGGTTGAGCTCCTGTCTGGCTTTGGCCCTTGAGTTCTAATGGAAAGGATCTGAGCTCTACCTTAGCTGGGGAAAGGTATCTTACTAGCCCTTCTTTTCCTCTAAGCGTAGTTAGTGTCTAACTGGTGTGGGTATCTGGAAGGGATGGGAGGTGATGTAACTTTTGTGGGTAGTCCTGGGGCCGCTGCAGCTGGCCAATTCCATTACCTTCCACTCTGTGGTCAGCACTGTCTATGGCCACCCTCCTTCCCAGCCAGGCCCTGCTGCCACTTGACCACAGAGCCTGGGGGTTGGACCACCCATGCTGTGCCCCTGTGCTGGGTAGGCTGGAGGCCTCCTTCACCATGAAGCTACCTGGCATCCTGCCCGCAGTCTCATGGCCCAAGACACCGAGCACAACCTCTCTGATGGTTCCCGCCCTAGTCTCATCTTACCAACAAGCCACCCTTGAGACTCTGGCCTTTCTTCACTCCTTGGTCTTCAGTCTCCCAACCCCCTCTGCAGCCTGATTCATCCCAGAGTTTTCACAAGCAACTGGTACTGTCCCAGACCAGGCAGAGTCTCCTGGCCAGAGCCCTGGATGTTGACCGGCAGCTCCTTGCAACTCACTCCAGAGCTGCCTTTCTGTCTCTCCTGAAATCCATCCTCACCAGTTGGATTTTAGGTGCCACCTTCTTAGACTTGTTTGCAAGTTGTCACTAGCAGCTTGAGGCCACCTCAGGAGCTTGGTTACACTCAACATCACTGCCTCCACCTGGGATGTTTTCAGACACTTTTTCAGGCCCATCGGCAGCCCTGTGTGGCCCCAAGTATAGCATCCTCAACTGGGTTCTCAGGACCTTACACGTGGGGCCACCATTATGCCACTTTTCTTTACAACTCTCTCAGAGTGGACCCATGCTCATGGACCCAAGATCATCTTGGGAGGGTGATTTCTCTATCCTCATGCCTACCTATACGTGGGAACTCCACCTGTGCTTCTCATGTCAGTGTCCTGGATGTGGTCCCCAGTTCTGCTCCCCATTAGGGATCCTCAGTGCCCTCTCTGAGGCTGGGGTCCTTCCCAGCCTAGGTGCCTTCCCGGCTGACTCTGGCAGTTGGCAGTTTGCCCACCCCAGGGCCAGACTACATACTGGTGGTCCCGCAAACTTAGTGAGCTACCTCGATACAGGTCCGCAAGCCCAAAGAAACTGCAAGTCAGCCTAGCCCCTCTCTGCTATGCAGTGTGGGGAAAACGAGCTTGGAGCTGTCTTGCAGACCTGGTCTTGGATGGCCAGCTCTACAACTTCCTGGGGCTGTGACTTGAGCAAGACACTCGGGCGCTTGGAGCCTCAGCTTTTCGATTGTGAAATGAGGCAAAGTCACACCTACCCCATCAAGCTTTCGTGAGAATTACATGAGATCAGTATACAAGGTGTCTGGCATCGTACTTGACCCACAGGAGCCTTAACAAATACTATTGACCTCTCTTCTTTCTCTGATGTCTCCATCTTCAAACTGCGCTCATATGTTGTCATTATGGGGATGTATAATTTTGCCTCTTTTTTTTTCATGTAAGATTTCCCTGCGTACACTTTGCCATATTTGATTGATTTTTTTCATGGTGGCATTTCATTGGAAAAATGTACCATAAAAAGTTACTTAATCAGCTCCCCACTGAGGGAAATTTTAGTGGTTTTTCAGCTTGTAGCTGAGCAGATGTCGCTTTCTTGTTCTGTGCGATAGTTGCTGCAAGATGAAATTCTCCAGCGTGATGTTACTGGGGTACAGGGCACGCACATCTTTATGGCTTCCCTCCAGTGTTGCCACATCCCCTGCGGAAGCCTGGGCTGAATCATGTGTCTCTGGCAGTGACAAGTAGACCTGATCCCCTTTGGCCTTGCTGACTTTTGACTGATGACCTTTTTTTTTTACTTTTTGGCTATAGTCATGTAAGGTTAAAGGTGAAAAGCCATTGGAACTTCTTGTTTTATTTATTTTGCTAGATTAGCAGGTATCTTGTGGTATCTCATGGAGGTTTTAATTTATTTTTCCTTTACTTATTAGTCAGGATCATTTTTTTTCCTGACATTTTGTTAGTTTGCTAATAATATTTCTTTAGATGTCAGTCACCTCTGTGGCTATTGACTTAGGAATTTTTACCAGTTCCTTATAATTTTGGATAGCATCACTTAATCACCTCTATCATCCTGTATTCCATTAATTTAATTTGATTTGATTTGATTTTAAATTTAGTTCCATGTTCCTCTTTGGAAGTCTTAAATTTTATATAGTTCAGCCCATCAATTCTGCTTTAGTTGTTTAGAATTTGTTGTCGAGGTGGGTGGGGTGGGTACAGCTCAGTGATATAGCACATGCTTAGTATGCACAAGGTCCTAGGGTTCAATCCTTAGTACCTCCATTTAAAAAAGATTTTTTGATTTTAAAAGTAAATTTAAAAAAATCAAGGGCCCCCTCCCACTCCCCTCAAAAAAGAATTTGTAGTGGGGAGAAATCGGCTGTTGTCTTTTCTCCCATCTGCCTGTGACAGTGGCTGTGAGGCCCTGGCTCATGCCTGTCTGTTCTCTGTCCCAGGTCTGCCACGTGAATCTGGAGGGGCAGCCATTCTACTCCAAGAAGGACAAACCCCTGTGCAAGAAGCACGCGCACGCCATCAACGTGTAGGGAGCCCGGGCGTCTGATGCTGACGGGCAGCGAGCTGCTCCCACTGCTGGCAACACAGGATTCAAGGAGGCTGATGTTTCTTTTGTGGAGGGGAAAGGGAGAAGACAGGAAGTGACGGAGCCCTTCTGAAGTATAATTTTAGTCCTTTTCTTCTGCACACAGATCGTGTATTTGCATAGTTCAGACTAGAAGCCAAATGAAGATTCCTGAACCAAGCTAGTCATTAATCCAAGGCTGGAATTGTACTTCAGACGTTGAGGACAGAATTCCAAGAACTCAAAAGTGAAAAGCAAAAAGTAACTTTCCCAAAGCGATAGGCTTCCCTGAGGTCACCGGAGCAGGGACCGAGCTCAGAGCAGTTAGGGAGAACCTGAAGCGGCCTGCAGAGTTCTTTCAAGCTCCTCTGGCAAACAGAATGAAGTGCCAAACAGTCCTCGCTGCAGGGTATTTTTAGAGCCATAGCCGAGAGCTTGTTAGCTAAGACCAACTGGGCTTTCCTCACCAAAAAAGGAAGTGTTATTCCATGACTCGCGTCACGGAGCTACCTCTGCACATCAGACTTCAGACCTTGCACGGGCTTGAGCATCCTCAAGGGAGCCCAGGCATCAGAGAGGTGTCTTCTGGGAGCCGCTGGGCAGTTGACGGGGCTTCGGGCAAGGAGCAGGCTCACCGTGCAGACAGCTGAGGGAAGGAGGGCTCTTCGGTTCCCCTCTTTCGGTCTGAAACATCCAGTGATGTCCCCAGAAGGCTTAGCTTCTTTTTGAATGTGATGACAAAGTGGAATTGAGGTTGTTTTTTTTTTTCCCTTTTTCCTTTCCACTTTTGTTTTGCTGTGTGTGAGAGGAGATTTTTTAAACAACTCTGGGCTGCATTTGGCCTCTGTTTGGCTTTATTAGCATGAATGTCTTAATCGTGTGTGTGTGTGTGTTTCACTACCCATCTCTGACGGCTCACTGATGACATCTTCCTTAGCATCCCTTCCCCCCACAGGCTTAGTGACCTGTGTAAAAGAAGAGAGAGGCAGTGTCTGGAACAGCATGGCAGACAGAACATGCCCAGACTCTGGGTGGGGAGGAGGAAGCTTCCCTTTTGCCAACCTCAGTAAGAACACACGAGCTGGCAGGGCCTCCCCGCCTCAGAGCTGCACCATCCTTCTGGTATCTTCCTTCAAACGCAGCACACTGATAACATACAGTCGTGTTGTCTGCCGGCAGGGAAAGGTGGCCGGATCTACCCACATGTGCCATTTTGGCCAATGTTTTGAGAAAGTATGAGCTGAGTGGATCTAGCAATTATTTAATTATTTATGGAGATAGACTTGGGTCTTCACACTTCTTTAAAATGTTAGTGATAGTTTGAGTTAAGTAAGTCAGTAAGCGTTTTCAAGCTGTTTGGTGAGAAAGAGAGAAGCTTTAGTTTCTGAGGTGGGTCAATGGATCGTCTCTTTCCCTTTTAGGAAGCACTGTTGTTATGCTCAAGGAACCCCGGCATCGAAGCCCATGGTTGGAGAGGACGTTTTTCACTTGAGCACAATTCTTAGACTCCCCTCCAACTGCTGCTACCCTCTCCTAACTTCTGTTTGGGATTTTCTCTTTGCACGTTTGAAATGTTTTGTGAGAATGCATTAGAACACTTTTTCTTCTGAGAACTGAGGCTTCCAGGGGACTGCCTTTCTACCTTAGGGAGAAGGAAGCAACTAGATGTGTCCTAGTGGGAGGCCCATGGTTTTGTTTTTGTTTTTGTTTTTGTTTTTGGTTTTTTTGTTTGTTTGTTTTTTCCCCAAAGGTAAAGCCACCCACCTCCAGGGAACACCGGGACATGCTCCTACCACCGGGCCCTTCTTTACCTTTGGTGCAGTGAGAAAGTGCCTGTAAAGCACCAGGCAGAGTAAAACCTGCCAAGAGTGCCTGGAGATTTTTCAGGAGTTGCAAACAAGCATTCTGTTATTTTTGGAAAGTTCAAATATACAGGGACAAGGAGGTTGCTGACTGTACAGAAAGGCTCTAGGCAGCTTTTCTCTTAAAAAAAATAAACACAACTATGAAAATTATCAGGGACTGGTCTCAAGGAAAGCAAAAAAAGTTCCCTAGAGTTGTTTCTGAAAATGTCACTTAAAAGGTTTTACACGTCCACACACACAAGTGTGGTCATTAAATACTATATAGTCATTAAGAAGAGAAGCGAAATGTCTCAAAGGAGAACTTCATCATAGTCATTTACTGAATCGATTTTTCTGCATCTCAGAGCTAGTGTAGATTCTGAGGGACCCTTTTATATACCGAAACCCAAAATGAACAACAACAACAAAATATTGTAAAGGTAGCAGTAAAAGGAGGTAGTTTTTAATAAGGTTCCCACGGTGTAAGTTTGACATAGCGACCAGGTTAAGGTTGTATCTATTTCAAGTTAACCTCGTGAATGTCTTACAACACCAAACACGGTTTTTAATAATTCATGGTAGGAAGTACACTTTGGATCTACAGTTCTTGTCTCCTCATTGTTGACATTTACTTAACATTTATAAACATTAACTTTTTGCGACTGAGTGACTTGTGTCTGCAGTGTTTGTGTTAGGAATCTAGCTTTTATAATGTTAACTTTTCAACCCAGGTACTCTTGCTTTGGGATTTTTTTTTTAACATTTCAGAATTAGAATGTAGTGTGTTAGAGGTGTGCACAAAAATATTTTGCATGGGTTTTGTTTTTTTTTTTTGGCCTGTGTGAATTCTTTTTAGCAAAATAAAACCCCCAAGAGGATGTGCAAATACAGATTTTTCTGTGTACAGTTTTTTCATCTGACACCAAAAGTAAGTTAATTCTATATGGCTGCAAATAAGTTAGGAGACAAAACAAAATGCCTTATGGAGAAGAACCATATAATTTACTTGCTTTTTGGCTGTGTGGCCCAACAGCAGTCTAATCAGACAGGGGTTATGTGAATAATACAAATGTTTTGCATACAAAGGGAATTTACTAGGTAAATAATAACCTGAAGACCTGGCTTGGCCTTTTCCTTTTGGAAAGATTTATTTATTTAGCTATTTGGAGATTAAATATTCCAGATTTATTTATTTTTATTCTGCTGAAGGATTTCATTTCTAGAAAAGTTGCTATATTTTCTTCTTAATTTTTTGTTTTGAAACAAGCTCAGAGTAAAATCCTCTGATGGCATTTAAAAAAAAAAAAACAATGAAGACCCGTCTGGCGGTACTGTGTTTAACACAACCATGTCATCCTTTTTCAAGGATTCTGTTTCTGGGCATTACTTTAAAAGAAAGGGGAATTTTTCATAATTTATTTGATTTTCAGTACCTGAATCAGACTTTCAAAGAGCTATGCAATTACAAGTAGAAATTAAATCTATTTTGGTTTTTTTTTTTTAAGCTATAGCAATTTTTCAAATAGGTGATGGAGAGAAAAAGGCTTACAGTCACAGCACTTAAAGTTGGAAAGAATCTGAGAGATCACCTGGGCACTTTCCAGATACAAAAACCGAGGCCCAGAATGGGGAAGTGGCTTCCCAGCATACACAACCAGCTAGGGAGGCAGGCAGGTGCCATGAAATAAACATGGACTTTGACATCATAAGACCGGGGTTTAGATCAAGACTGATCTAATACCACCTGAGCAATATCGGGAGAGTCTCTCTAAGCCTGCCTATCTACCTGAAAATGAAGGTAATGACATCTGCATTTTGTTTAGAGAACCAAATGCAAAAACTTTTGGAAGACAATTGCAGTGCAAATGTTAGCTATCATTATCGCCAATAGAGTGGGGTCAGAATCCAAAGCCCTCACCCCTGCTTTATTTTCTTAACTCCTTCAACTTGTCCATCCAGAAAAAAATACATTGGGAAAATCATCAACAAGAATAAATATTACACAAATATCCCAGAAAATATGTGCCATGTTAGTCAGAATTTGTTACAATTACCTGGCACTAAAATTTCTGCCCTCTTCACCGAGGACTTGCGGACAGAATAAAAATTGCTTGTTCAACACTTTACAAAGCCAGCGTTATCCTGATACCAAAACCAGACAAGGACACCACAGAAAAAGAAAATTATAGGCTAGTATCCTTGATGAACAGAGATGTAAAAACCCTCCACAAAATATTAACAAATCAAATCCAGCCACACATTGAAAGGATCATATACCACAATCAAGCGGGATTAATTCCAGAGATGCAAGTATGATTCCACATCTACAAATCAATCAGTGTGATACATCTATTAACAAAATGAAGGCTAAAAATCATATGGTCATCTCAATAGATGTAGAAAAAGCATTTGACAAAATTCAACATGCATTTATGACAAAAATTCTCAACAAAGTGAGTATAAAGGGAACGAACCTCAACATAATAAAGGTCATATGTGATAAACCCATAGCTAACATCAGTGAAAAGCTGATTCTTCTCTAAGATCAGAAACAAAACAAGAGGCCCATTCTCACTACTTTTATTCAACATAGTATTGGAAGTTCTAGACACAGCAATCAGACAAAAAAAAAAAAAAGGAAAAGAAAAAGAAATAAAGGGAATCCAAATTGGAAAGGAAAAAGTAAAACTATCACTTTTTGCAGATGATATGATAAAATACATAGAAAATCCTAAAGACAATACCAAAAAACTAGAGCTTATCAATGAATTTGGTAAAGTTGCAGGATACAAAATTAATATACAGAGATCTGTTGCATTTCTATACATTAACAATGAATCAGCAAAAGGCTAAGTTAAGAAAACAACCCTGTTTACCATAACATCAAAGAGAATAAAATACTTAATACTAAATCTAACTGAGGAGGTAAAAGACCTATACTTGGAAAACTGTAAGACACTGATGAAAGATACTGAAGGTGCAAATAAATGGAAAGATATTTTGGGTTCATAGATTAGAATAACTAATGTTACTAAAATGTTAATGTACATTTAGGAGGGAGGGTATGGCTTAGTGGTAGAGCACATGCCTAGCATGCACAAGGTCGTAGGTTCAATTCCCAGTACCTCCATTAAACATAAATAAATAAATAAACCTAATTACCTCTCCCCTTAAAAAAAAGTTAACATACATTTAATATATGTATGTTACTACTAAAGCAATCTACAGATTCAATGCAATCCTTATCAAAATTCCAATGGCATATTTCACAGAATCAGAAAAATGAGTCTAAAATTTGTATGGAACCACAAAAGATCCCAAATAACCCAAAACTTAAGAAAGAAGAAAGTTTGAAGGTATTATGCTATATGAAATATGTCAGAGAGAGAAAGACAAATACTGTATGGTTTCACTTATATATGGAATATAAAAAAACAAAATAAATGAACAAACAAAATAAAACAAAAATAAATTCATAGAAGAGGGTGGATATAGCTCAGTGGTAGAGCATGTGCTTAGTATGCACAGAGGTCCTGGGTTCAATCCCTGGTACCTCCATTAAAAAAAAATTCAAATAATGTAGAAGTAATATAGCTAGAATAAAGTCCTTTAAAAAAAAATCTCATAGATACAGAGAACAGATCAGTGGTTACCAGAGGGGAAGGGGGTTGGAGGTTGGGTTTTCAAAAGGAGTGAAGGGGGTCAAGTGTATGGTGACAGATGGCAGCTAGACTTGTGGTAATCACTGTGTAGTGTATCCAGATGTTGAATTATACTGCTATACACCTGAAACTTACATAATAAAAGATGTTTATTCCTTTGCTCATTCATTCATTCTTTCAACAAGTATTTATTAAGCCCCTAATGTGTGTCAGGCACGCCTCTGGACACAGGGAACATGATAATGAATAAAACAGACAAAAAACACTGTTCTCGTGGAACATAGAGTCTAGTGGTTTGGAATCAGCCAAACAGATAAGTAACTAAATTATGTTGGGTTAGTTCTGAGGAGAAATATTTTGACTATTTTAAAGCAGCTCTGTAGGGTGATACAGGCATTCAGCTGGACCTAGGCTCACCAGTGATTAAGACATGTGAAGACGGGCTCTGGATCAAATGTTAGGAAATAGTTGCATATGCTGTTTACCCTAGAGATTCACAGCACACACATGTGAGCTGTTTGAGGACTCAATCCCTCAACACAAAAACCTGTCTAACTTATTTGAGCACGGAGTTGGGAACTCTAATTTGGAAAAAAACACCTAAAGTTTCGGTTTAGGCTCTCTTGAGCGCTAGTTTTCCCAGGACAACTCTAATGTCAAATAATCTCTTAGGGTTCTACTCACACACTTAAACCATTGACAACTTGGGCAGTCTATCTTTTTTTTTTAATAGATTTTATTTTTACAGCAGTTTTTGGTTCACAGCAAAGCTGAGCAGGAGATATACAGATTTCCCACATACCCTTTTCTACCACTTATGACTCCATTTTATCAACATCCCCCACCAGAGTGGTACCTTTGGTATAATCAGTGAATCTACATCGACACATCCTTATCACTCAGAGTCAGTAGTTCGTATTAGGGCTCACTCTTGGTGTTGCACATTCTGTGGATTTGACCAAATGTGTTATGATTTATATCCACCATTATACTTTCATACAAAGTTGCCTAAGACTTCCGTGTGCTCCACTAACTCATCCCTTCCTCCTCCTTAACCCTGACAACCACCGATCTTTTTACTATCTTCATAGTTTTGACTTTTCCGAAATGTCATATAGTAGGAATCATACAGTATATAGTTTCTTCATATTGGCTTCTTTCACTTAACAATTCACATTTCATTTCCCTCCATATCTTTCCATGGCTTTATAGCTCATTTCTTTTTAGCACTGAATAATAAATAGTCCAGAAGTATAACTTATTTTAAAATTGAAGTATAGTCATTTTACAATGTTGTGTCAATTTCTGGTGTACAGCATAATGTTTCAGTCATATATATACATACATATATTTATTTTCATATTCTTTTTCATTATAGGTTACCCTGTGGTATATGGTTGTTTATCTATTTTATAGTAGTACCAGTTAGTATCTGCAAATCTCAAACTCCTCATTTATCCCTTCCCACTTTTCATCCCACAAACACTC